GAAAAAAATTAATATCCTCTGGGAGTCTTCAATGACCTAGAGAAAGTATTCAATTAAGTAGACAAAAATATCCTGCAACTTAACCCTTTGACTGTCGCGGCCGTATATATACGTCTTACAAGGTACCGTGTTTGACGTATATATACTCATAAATTCTAGCGGCTTCAAATCAAGCAGGAGAAAGCTGATAGGCCCACGTGAGAGAATGGGTCTGTGTGGTCAGTGTGCACCATAAAAAAAAAACTGCAGCACGCAGTGCATAATGAGAAAAAAAAAAACTCCGACCGTTTTTTTTAATTAAAATGCCGACTTTGTGGTCTATTTTCGTATAGTATTTATGGTTGTATTCTCGTTTTCTTGGTCTTACTTGATAGAATGGAAAACATATTATAGAAATAGAGGTGATTTTGATTGATTTTACTATAAAAAGAACCTAGAAATGGAGCTCAAAGTAGGGGAAATGTTTGATTTTTGCCAATGTTCAAAAGTAAACAAATGATGTCATTATCCAATAAATGTCCAACTAGCCACTCTAATATGCAGTCATGAATGGGTTGATGTTATTTATACAATTATTACAGTATTGCAGTAGTCTACATAATAGTAAGTCTTCTATTTTTTGTTTGAATAAAAATTCAAAATAGAAAGCAAGAGTAATATCAGAGGGGCCTGGAGACATGACTGATGAACAAAGAAAATGTTATTTTAGAGCCAGGAATGTCTGCATTGTTCATTCTGGACCTTATTTTGAAATTGTCATATTTTTTAGTTTTCGTGAAATTGGCCAAATTGCAAATTTCTGACCACATTATTGGGCAGTTGAAATTGGTAAATGGGCAGTTTCTTGTACTCAATCGATAGAAAAAAATGGAGTTCTAAAGAAATAGCTATGAGTTTGGGCAACTGGAACAATGGAATTAGCCGAAAATAGGGCTCAAAGTGGGCGAAATCGCCGATTTGTAAACAGCGCCGAGGTCGCTAACTTCGCGAGGGCATAATTCCGTCAGTTTTCCATCAAATTTCGTTTTTTTGGTGTCATTACAATCGGGAAAAGATTCTCTATCATTTCATAAGAAAGTTTTTTTTTTTTTTCAGATTTTGCGACACCAGGAGACACCTCAGGATTGGGGGTTGCGACAGTCAAAGGGTTAAACTAGAACATAACCCTGGTGGTTTAGCACTGAATTTTGATTATTATAATAAAAAACATAAGAATGAACACTGCAACAGGCCTATTGGCCCATACTTGGCAGGTCCTTGTCCTATCCAACTCACTAACAAAAATATCTGCCCAACCCATTTTCAATGCTACCCAAGCAATAAACTTTGATAACCCTTTTAACTCCTGTGCACATCCCATTTAAATCCAACCCTTCTCACTCATGTATTTATGCAACCTAAATTTGAAGCTACCCAAGGTTTTAGCTGCAATAACCCTACTAGGTAGACTGTTCTCCCTCGTCAGCTACTCTATATTCAAACCAATACTTTCCTATATCCTTTCTAAATCTAAACTTATCCCATCTGAATCTATTATTACGGGTTCTCTCTTGGAAGGATATCCTCCAGACTTTATACCTCTATTAATACCCATCTTCCACTTATACACTTCAATCATGTCTCCCTCTCATTCATCTTACAACAGAATGTAATTTTGAGGGATTACAATCTTTCTTCATAAGGAACATTTCTTATTCTATGTATTATTTGTCATTCTTTGCTGAATGTTTGCTAACAAATCTATTTTTTTTTATTAACACATCGGCCGATTCCCACCAAGGCAGAGTGGCCGCCAAGGGAAGGTGGCCTGAAAAAGAAAAACTTTCATCATCATTCATTCCATCACTGTCTTGCCAGAGGGGTGCTTGACACTACAGTTATAAAACTGCAACATTAACACCCCTCCTTTATATCCATTCTATAATATGGAGACCAAAACTGAGCTGCATAATCTAAGTGAAGCCTTACTAATGAAGTGTAGAGCTGTAGTATAACCTCAGGACTTCCATTGCTTATACTTATGGACATACCCTTGCATACCTAAAATCTTATCTTAGTAACAGACACCAGTGTCTCCACAAACAGCATAACCTCATCAACTCAGCTTAAGAAATCCCAATTAAACAACCATGGTGACATATGGTCATTCAACGAGTTACAATGAATACAAGAGAACTGAGTATTCTATTAAGTCATGTTATATGGCCTTAATAAGACTTGTGCTTAACATCTGAGGTGAGTACAGATATTGAGAATAAGTACACCTACCATCCGACTTACGACCTGCTCGACATACGACGACTCGACTTACGACCGTGTTTTTTATGCCAAATTTCTGGGAAATAAACAAGTGTTTGTGTTGTACACAGTGTTTATCCTAAACCTTACAGTATAAAATACAGTACTAACAGCATAAAAAGTAAAGTAAAACATGAAATACCAAAATAAAACAATAAAATAAAGTCATTACAAAAATGATATGTTGATATTCAGTAGTAAAGTTCGACTTACGTCCGTTTCGACTTACAACCGGTTTCTCGGAACCGAACTCGGTCGTAAGTCGGATGGTAGGTGTATATACTGACTCAAAGTTTTACCTATGTTCATGATATTGAGCAAATGCATGTACAGTTTTTACATGTGTAGTATTTATGATGGGCTGGGATAAGTTAAGGAGATAAAGTGTTTTTTAAGTGTAGTTTTAAAAATGCTGAACCAGTGGTTCTGGAGATTTCTAGCAGAGTTTTCCAGATTTTGGGCCATTTTATGTCAGAGGCTCTTGTGCCTAGTGTTGTGTCTATGAGTCCTGTTGCAACTGTTAAGAAAGTGTTTCAGGTCGGGATTTATATTAGAATTGATTGTTCTGTAAATGTAGGTTGTACAATAGTATGAGTGAATGTTTTGTATAGTCAGTAGGTTTATGTCTTTGAAGAGTTGGGGGAAGGGGGGTTGTTGAGCAATGGATTGTGTAATAATTCACACTGCGGCTTTTTGTGTATTAATGATTTTAGGTGGTTTTCTGTTGTAGAACCCCAGGCACAAATAGCATAGTTGAGATACTGGTAGATCAGTGAATAGTATAATGTAAGTAGTGGTGTTTGTGGTACATAGTAACATATAGTGTAAGTAGTGGTGTTTGTGGTACATAGTAACATAGTGTAAGTAGTGGTGTTTGTGGTACATAGTAACATAGTGTAAGTAGTGGTGTTTGTGGTACATAGTAACTAGTGTAAGTAGTGGTGCTTGTGGTACATAGTAACATAGTGTAAGTAGTGGTGTTTGTGGTACATAGTAACATAGTGTAAGTAGTGGTGTTTGTGGTACATAGTAACATAGTGTAAGTAGTGGTGTTTGTGGTACATAGTAACATAGTGTAAGTAGTGGTGTTTGTGGTACATAGTAACATAGTGTAAGTAGTGGTGTTTGTGGTACATAGTAATGTATCTTTGAGAGGATGACAACTGTTTTAGGAACTTTTATTGTGTGTTGGATATGGGTGTTGAATTTCAGGTTGCTATCAAGGTGAAGACTCAGGAATTTTCCCTCATTATGTTTAGCAATAAGGGTATTGTTAAGCATAATGTTTAGTTGGTCCTCACTTGCTCTACTCCCAAACATAATGTTTTGTCAATATTAAGTGTAAGTTTATTGACAGTCAATCAGGTTGCTATTTTTGCGAGTTCTTCATTAACAATAGTGTTAAGTAAGGCTAGATTTGGGTGGGAGATGAAAGTCGTCTCATCAGCAAGAGAATAGGCCTAAGTTGTGATACGCTTGGAAGATCATTGATGTATAAAAGGAAAAGGAGGGGGGCCAAGAATGCTACCTTGTGGTACACCAGTGTCCAGGAGTCTTGCTGAGGAGGTTGTGTCACTGACAGACACATATTGCTTTCTATTAGTGAGGTAGGACTTGATAAATGCAAGTGCATGGCCTCTTATACTGTAATGATCAAGCCTGAGGAGTAGGATGCTGTGATCTACTGTATCAACAGCTTTCTTAAGGTCGATAAAGGTCCAAGTGAGTATTCATTTTTTTCCAGTGCTGTGTAAAGTAGGTCTTGCATTTTTAATATTGCATCATTTGTGCTTCTGTTTCTCCAGAAACCAAACTGGCAGGGGTTGAGGATGCTTTTTGATGTTATGAAGAAGTATAATCTTTTGTGTATGAGTTTCTCAGAGATTTTGGAAAGTAAAGGCAAGTTTGATACTGACTGATAATTGTTGACATCTGTTGGGTCACCACCTTTGTGTACTGGTGTAATCCTTGCTTGCTTGAGGGATGCCAGAAAAGTGTTGGTTTTAAAAATTTTGAAAATTACCAGAATACAACAGTGGGACAAAATGCACAAGTGTTGTAAGGAGACTGAGCGCCACTAACAAACTGCCGCCACTCACCTAATGTGCGCCTCACTGCCAAAAATAATAAACGTGAATATAATTGAAAAGTGCTGTATTAGCGAGGCACCTTTAAGCAAGGTACTTCTGAAATTCCTATTTTTACACACACAGATAAGTCATTACCAGTCAGATTACTGCCCAATAGGCCTAACTTCACAAATTATCAGGATGAATTATAGCAGATATTATGTGAACTTTTAATAAGCCAACTTGAGAAATATAATTTGATTTAGAAAGAACATAAGTAAGGTCTGGCTTTCAGAGCATTGATGAGCAAAACAATGTACCAAGTAGGCTACTAGAGGCTCAAACCTTGGGGCAGCTTTAAAAGTTAGACGAATACATGAGAGGGATCGGGTTTAACTGGGACCAGCCCAGCTTGACTTAGTAGTTACTTAAGCTTAAGTTCTGGGCAACTTTGTGAATTTGTTGGATAAATATTTCAATTAAAAGGTTTGGATTTAAGAAGGACTTGCTTAGTATTGGGCAGTAGGCTTACTGCAGTGTTCTATCATTCTTGTGTTCTTGACTAGTGGTGTACAGGTAATATGTAGTCTTAACGACCTCGTGAAGTAGAGTACAAATGTTTGTTTAACTCACCAGCTTGGGGTCGTGGTGACAGTGACACATGTAGAAAGGTTTAGTTTCAGCAGGGAAGTGAGTGAGGATGACCGGGGTGTCACCCAGGTGCCTAGTTAACCTCAGTTCCTGGTCCCGTGAGAGGTCACTGCCAAACACTGAGGCACTCCCCTGCACTGAGCACTCTGGACTGAGGCACTCCCCTGCACTGAGGCACTCTGTTCTTCAAGTATGGTGAGTGCTTCAGTGTAGGACAAGCGTGTGAAGGGTCGGTCCAGTGCTCTCATAACTCTCTCCTGAAACAAATTATTACTGTAACAGGCCTAGTGTATATAGGCTCACTGATGCTACTCAAGGGCTCTTAACTTCCTCCTAGTTAAAGGTATAAAATATTGGTGTTTATTCTGTAGGCTCAGCTAATACTTTGTGATCTCAGTGTTTAAGAAATAACTTTGATTTTGACAACTAGCAGTATTATAACCTGAGTGGCAATATTATAACTTGAGTGGCAGTATTACTACATGAGTGGCAGTATTCTTACCTGAGTGGCAGTATTCTTACCCAAGTGGCAATATTCTTACCTGAGTGACAGTATTCTTACTTACCTGAGTGGCAGTATTCCTACTCACCTGAGTGGCAGTATTCTTACTTACCTGAGTGGCAGTATTCTTACCTGAGTGGCAGTATTCTTACCTGAGTGGCAATATTCTTACCTGAGTGGCAGTATTCTTACCCAAGTGGCAATATTCTTACCTGAGTGACAGTATTCTTACTTACCTGAGTGACAGTATTCTTACTTACCTGAGTGGCAGTATTCTTACCTGAGTGGCAGTATTCTTACTTACCTGAGTAGCAGTATTCTTACTTACCTGAGTGACAGTATTCCTACTCACCTGAGTGGCAGTATTCTTACTTATCTGAGTGGCAGTATTCTTACCTGAGTGGCAGTATTCTTACCTGAGTGGCAGTATTCTTACCTGAGTGGCAGTATTCTTACATGAGTGGCAGTATTCTTACCTGAGTGACAGTATCCCTACTCACCTGAGTGACAGTATTCTTACTTACGTGAGTGGCAGTATTCCTACTCACCTGAGTGGCAGTATTCTTACTTACCTGAGTGGCAGTATTCTTACCTGAGTGGCAGTATTCTTACCTGAGTGGCAGTATTCTTACCTGAGTGGCAGTATTCTTACCTGAATGCCAGTACTCCTACTCAACTGAATGGCAGTATTCCCACTTACCTGAGTGGCAGTATTCTTGCTCCAGTGTGCCGCGATGTCGTCTGGTCGAGCATCAATCACATTCTGGATTGATGTCTTGACCAGAGCCTCGAGTCTGTCCATCAAGGAGTGTAGGCCACTGCCACCTCCACTTCCACCTCCGCTGTCACCTCCACCACCTCCGCCGCCACTGCCACCACCTCCTTCCTGGTGGTCATCACTGGACACAAAGGCCTCCTCAACTTCCACCATCCAGAACTCAGCCAAGTGTCTGCGAGTGTTGGCGTTCTCTGCTCGGAACGCCGGGTTGATGGTGTACACCTTCCACAGTCCGCTGTAAACAACAATAATCTCACATTTACATAGCATTTTTACTCCTACTGTAACATTTACAGAGGATTTTCATCCTTTACGTCATTGTTCACTTTAGAGTCAAAAGGTAATTTACACTATGTATGATAATTGTACTTTTATGTACCTGTGCCTAAATAAACTTACTGAAGTAGGCCTACTGGCCTATACTACAAAAGAATATAAGAATGAAGGAACAATACTGTAGGCCTACTGGCCCACACTAGGCAGGTCTTTCTCAAAACCAACCACTGTCACCCACATATCTGCACAATCTATACTCAAAGATACACAAACAGTTATCTTCAATATCTATGACCCTTATTAAACCTAGACCTTCACACTCATATATTTGTCTAACTTATTTTTCAAGCTGCCCAAGGTTTGAGCTTCTAGTACCCTACTTGGTAGATTGTTGCGCTCGTTGACAACTCTGAAAGTCAGGACTTGCCTACATCCTTTCTAAATTCTAATTTTAAATCTGTTATTTTGAGTTCTTTCTTGGTTTAACATTCTCAGTACCTTATTTATATCACCTTTGTTTATGTCTATCATCCACTTGTATACATCAATGATGTTTCCTCTTATTCTGTCTCAAGAGACAGTGAAGGTTCAAGGTTCTTAGTCGTTCTATGTCTCTCAGACAGTGAAGGTTCAAGGTTCTTAGTCGTTCTATGTCTCTCAGACAGTGAAGGTTCAAGGTTCTTAGTCGTTCTATGTCTCTCAGAGAGTGAAGGTTCAAGGCTCTTAGTCGTTCAATGTCTCTCAAGACAGTGAAGGTTCAAGGTTCTTAGTCATTCTATGTCTCTCAAGACCTGGGAGTGATTATGTCGGAGGATCTCACCTTCAAGGACCATAACATTGTATCAATCGCATCTGCTAGAAAAATGACAGGATGGATAATGAGAACCTTCAAAACTAGGGAGGCCAAGCCCATGATGACACTCTTCAGGTCACTTGTTCTATCTAGGCTGGAATATTGCTGCACTCTAACAGCACCTTTCAAGGCAGGTGAAATTGCCGACCTAGAAAATGTACAGAGAACTTTCACGGCGCGCATAACGGAGATAAAACACCTCAATTACTGGGAGCGCTTGAGGTTTCTAAACCTGTATTCCCTGGAACGCAGGAGGGAGAGATACATGATTATATACACCTGAAAATCCTAGAGGGACTAGTACCGAACTTGCACACGAAAATCACTCACTACGAAAGCAAAAGACTTGGCAGACGATGCACCATCCCCCCAATGAAAAGCAGGGGTGTCACTAGCACGTTAAGAGACCATACAATAAGTGTCAGGGGCCCGAGACTGTTCAACTGCCTCCCAGCACACATAAGGGGGATTACCAACAGACCCCTGGCAGTCTTCAAGCTGGCACTGGACAAGCACTAAAGTCAGTTCCTGATCAGCCGGGCTGTGGCTCGTACGTTGGTTTGCGTGCAGCCAGCAGCAACAGCCTGTTGATCAGGCGCTGATCCACCAGGAGCCTGGTCACAGACCGGGCCACGGGGGCGTTGACCCCCGAAACTCTCTCCAGGTAAACTCCAGGTAAACAATGAAGGTTCAAGGCTCTTAGTTGTTCAATGTCTCTCAAGACAGTGAAGGTTCAAGGTTCTTAGTCATTCTATGTCTCTCAAGACAGTGAAGGCTCAAGGCTCTTAGTCGTTCAATGTCTCTCAAGACAGTGAAGGTTCAAGGTTCTTAGTCATTCTATGTCTCTCAAGACAATGAAGGTTCAAGGTTCTTAGTTATTCTATGTCTCTCAAGACAATGAAGGTTCAAGGTTCTTAGTCGTTCTATGTCTCTCAGACAGTGAAGGTTCAAGGCTCTTAGTCGTTCTATGTCTCTCAAGACAATGAAGGTTCAAGGTTCTTAGTCATTCTATGTCTCTCAAGACAATGAAGGTTCAAGGTTCTTAGTCGTTCTAGTTCTCTCAGACAGTGAAGGTTCAAGGTTCTTAGTCGTTCTATGTCTCTCAGACAGTGAAGGTTCAAGGTTCTTAGTCGTTCTATGTCTCTCAGACAGTGAAGGTTCAAGGCTTTTAGTCGTTCTATGTCTCTCAAGACAATGAAGGTTCAAGGTTCTTAGTCATTCTATGTCTCTCAAGACAATGAAGGTTCAAGGTTCTTAGTCGTTCTATGTCTCTCAGACAGTGAAGGTTCAAGGTTCTTAGTCGTTCTATGTCTCTCAGACAGTGAAGGTTCAAGGTTCTTAGTCGTTCTATGTCTCTCAGACAGTGAAGGTTCAAGGTTCTTAGTCGTTCTATGTCTCTCAGACAGTGAAGGTTCAAGGTTCTTAGTCGTTCTATGTCTCTCAAGACAATGAAGGTTCAAGGTTCTTAGTCGTTCTATGTCTCTCAAGACAGTGAAGGTTCAAGGCTCTTAGTCGTTCTATGTCTCTCAGACAGTGAAGGTTCAAGGTTCTTAGTCGTTCTATGTCTCTCAGACAGTGAAGGTTCAAGGTTCTTAGTCGTTCTATGTCTCTCAAGACAATGAAGGTTCAAGGTTCTTAGTCATTCTATGTCTCTCAAGACAATGAAGGTTCAAGGTTCTTAGTCGTTCTATGTCTCTCAGACAGTGAAGGTTCAAGGTTCTTAGTCGTTCTATGTCTCTCAGACAGTGAAGGTTCAAGGTTCTTAGTCGTTCTATGTCTCTCAGACAGTGAAGGTTCAAGGTTCTTAGTCGTTCTATGTCTCTCAAGACAATGAAGGTTCAAGGTTCTTAGTCGTTCTATGTCTCTCAAGACAGTGAAGGTTCAAGGTTCTTAGTCGTTCTATGTCTCTCAGACAGTGAAGGTTCAAGGTTCTTAGTCGTTCTATGTCTCTCAGACAGTGAAGGTTCAAGGTTCTTAGTCGTTCTATGTCTCTCAAGACAATGAAGGTTCAAGGTTCTTAGTCGTTCTATGTCTCTCAAGACAATGAAGGTTCAAGGTTCTTAGTCGTTCTATGTCTCTCAAGACAATGGCTGTATAGCCCATGTGGTTTAGCACTTCTTTTTGATTATAATAATAATAATCTCAAGACAATGAAGGTTCAAGGTTCTTAATCATATTGTCATCAGATAATTTACTGGTGTTGATCATAATTCCTTCATCAAGGTCGTTAATGTAAATTATAACCAACAAGAGACCTAAAACTGATCCTTGTGGAATTCCACTTGTGATGACTCATTATTATTATTATTATTATTACAATCAAAACCGAGTAATAAACCAACAAGGGTTGACTTGACCCTATTAACCCGTAAACAGTCCAAATGTATATATACGTTCTTACCGCTAGTGCCCTAAACATATATACTCTATACGTTTTATTTTTCCTGCCTCCAAATTTGGCACAATTGGCCTGAGATGCCTGGTCAGCATAGAATGGGTCTTAACACTCAGTGTGCACCATATTAAAATAATCTGGGACCACTTAGTACCTTGTGGGAGCACCAGTTAAAATGAGCACCAGCTAGAGCAAACAGTGGGGCAAACACCAAGGATTCATTGATGTAATGTCATATTAACACTCCCCTTTTAACCCTTAAACGGTCCAAAGAGATCGACGTTCAAATTCGTAGCTACAAAAGTGGATCTACTTTCTTTTACATATTTTCAAATATAACAAAAAAAAATGTAGATAAAAGTTTTTTTTACACGTTTTCAAATGTAAAACAAAAAAGATCTACATTTTTTTACATACTTTCAGATGTTGAAAAAACATATATATACGTTTGGACCATTTAAGGGTTAAGAGGAAAGTGATGTTGACCCCAAGTTTAGGGTCTATCTGTCTCTGTCTATCTGTCTCTATCTGCCTCTATCTATCTGTCTCTGCCTATCTCTTCTTATCTCTGTCTCACAGGTACACATAAATACAATTATACATAGTGTAAATTACCTAGGATAACCTAAAAAATCCAAAGTGCTATACTGTGCTTGTAGATATAATGCATAAGAATACCTGTTGGTTCAGAGTGGCTCTCTCTGAGACAGAGAGACAAGCAGACAGACAAGACAGAGACAGATAAGCAGAGACAGAGATGCCAATGCTCATCAAATGTCATCCCTTATCTCATCTTATCTCTGCACCCTCACAGGTACCCATCAAATGCCATCCCTTATCTCATCTTATCTCTGCCCTCCGGATGATTGTCACTGACATCATGCTTCAAGGGAACTTCTTTCTTCTTCCTTCTTCTTCTGTCATCCTTCTCTTTCCTTCTTCTTCCTTCTTCTATCATCCTTCTCCTTCCTTCTTCCTCCTTCTTCTTCCTTCTCTATACTCCCGTGTATCCAAAATATTGCTGGGACTTATAAATTCTTTGTATATATTCCTAGACAATATAAATGACCAAGGCAGGTGTAATGTCCACCTGTCAGTGTGTTTGTGACAATTTGAGTATAATTTCAGTACCTAATATTAGTGTCAGAAAAAAGATTGGTTATGAAATGATAAGAAGTACTATAAATTGTAATTATCAGAATATAAAAATTATTTTTCAAAATATTGTGGGCAGTGGCAGTAAGATAGTGATACTACCTGCAGAGCATCCCACGCCATCGTCTGGTTTACCTTAGTCTACCACTGCTGAGTGCCAACAAAGTTTTACAGTTTTTTTTTTATTCATTATTTTATACAATACAATTTACACAATTCATTATTGGGTCATATACAGGGGCTCAGATTGCTGTTTAGTATCAAAAAACTTCTCTGGGCTTAGGTTGAGGTCACTGAGCAATGTGTGTGTGACTTGGACCTGTCTAGCATGGGCCAATGGTCCTGCTGTAGTGCTCCTTCTTATCTTCTTATGTAACCTTTAGCTTCCAAATCGCTGGGTAAATTTCCGAGACTTATTTTGGGGAAACAAAAGAGCATCTTCAACACCATAAAAATGGTAAATCCCAGTAACCTGCTAGATTTATTACTTACACCATGATACTGCTGTCTTGGTAGTAAGTAGGTACCTGGGTTTTAGTCACCTTACACCTGCTGTCACTATTCACCTAGCAGTAAATAGATACCTGGGTGTTAGTCATCTTACATCACAATGGAAGTAAGTCACACTGCTTCAACAATAATAATAATAATCTCACCAGGCGAGGGCTTCGAGATGCAGTTGGCCAGAGACTGTCAGATGGGTCCTACGTCCAAAGTAATTGGTCATCTTTGATGCATCACTGCTGGCACTGCTGCTGCTGGTAGTGCTGACACTGCTGCTGCTGGCAGTGCTGACACTACTGCTGCTGGCAGTGCCAACACTACTGCTGCTGGCAGTGCCGACACTACTGCTGCTGTTGCTGGTGTTGCTTTCATTACTGCTGCCATCACCACTGCTGCTGCTGAGATGCTAAGATAAATGCCATCAGTTAAGTCTACAATCAGCACACCAAGATGGTCATAAGTGACCTTTACAATGTTACATTGACCCTTACAAACATAATACAGGAGAGGCCAATTGACGTGGCTAATAAACAGAGGAAAATTTTTAGTGCCAGCAATGCCTACATTGTTTATTATGGACCACATTTTTAAATTGGTATTTTTTTTTAATTTTGTATAAAGCTGGCCAAATTTACCAGGCCCTGTGGCCTGGTGGCTAAACTTCTTGCTTCACACGGCGAGTGTCCGGGTTCAATTTCTGGTCAGGGTAGAAACATTGGGCATGTTTCCTTACACCACTTGTCTATGTTCTCCATCAGTAAAATGGGTACCTGGGTGTTAGTCAATTAGTGTGGGTTGCATCCTGGGATAAAACTGACCTAATTTACTCGAAATGCTCTGCAAAACAAGCGGCTTTCTATATAGTAGTATGTCACTGATGTCAGCTAGGTTTGTATACCTTGTACAAGTACTTGTAAAAATAAAGATATTATTATTATAACTTTATAGTGTAACTAAATTAGTTGAATGGATGGAATTTTGTGCCAAATCAATAGAACAGAAGCATACTAATGAAATAGCTAAGTATTTGGTCAACTGGAACAATGGAACTGACTTAAAATAGGACTCAAAGTGGGCAAAATTGTTGGTGTGTAAACTGCACCAAGACCACCAACTTTGTGCCTGCATAATTCTGTAAGTGTTCCATCGAATTTTGTACTTTTGGTGTCATTATCTTCAGAAAGACATATGGCAGGGTGGATAGGTGAGCAATGTGACAGATGTTGCAAGTGTATGGAATATTTAGTAATTTACTAAATGCTGTAAAGAGTTTTTATGAGGATAGTGAGGCTCAGGTTAGTGAGTGTAGGAGAGAGAAAGATTACTTTCCAGTAAAAGTAGGTCTTAGACAAGGATGTGTAATGTCACCATGGTTGTTTAATAAATTTATAGATGGGGTTGTAAAAGAAGTAAAAGCCAGGGTGTTGGGGAGAGGGGTGGGATTAAATTAAGGGGAATCAAATACAAAAGGGGAGTTGACACAGTTACTTTTTGCTGATGATACAGTGCTTTCGGGAGATTCTAGATAAGAATAGATAAGAATAAGGTGATGAGGGTATCAAACGAGTTCGGTAAAGAAAAATTGGATATCACATTGGAAGAGGTGAATGTGTTCAGATATTTGGGAGTAGTCTTGTCAGTGGATGGGTTTATGAAGGAAAAAGTTAACCATAGAATTGGTGAAGAAAAAAAGGTGAGTGGTGTACTGAGGAGACAAAGAACATTATCCACAGAGACAAACACTGTGTAAAACACGGGTTGTAAAAAGCTGCAGCAAGGAGGAGGTTGGAGGCAGTGGAGATGTCATGTCTAAGGGCAATGTGTGATGTAAATATTATGCAGAGAATTCATATTGTGGAAATTACAAGGAGGTTTGGACTTAAAGTATTATTCAGAGGGCTGAAGAGGGGTTATTCAGGTGGTTTGGTCATTTAGAGAGGATGGAGCAAAATAGGTTGACTTGGAGTGTGTATAAATTTGTAGTGGAGTGGAGGAGGGGTAGGGGTCATCCTAAGAAAGGATGGAGGGAGGGGGAGAGGGAAAAAAAGGTTTAGTGTGCAAGGGGCCTAGACATGCAGCAGGCATGTGTAAGCATATGAGATAAAAGTGAATGGAGACAAATAGTTTTTGGAACCTGATGAGCTGTTAGTGTGAGCAGGGTAATATTTTGTGAAGGAATTGAGGTAAACTGGTTAGCCAGACTGGAGTCCTGGAGGTGGGAAGTACAATGCCTGTACTTAAAGGAGGGGTTTGGGATACTGGCTGTTTGGAGTGACATCTAAACTGTCACATCTGGGCACCTCTGCAAAGACAGTGATTATGTGGGAATGATGAAGAAAATGTTTCTTTCGTCTTTGGGTCACCTGTCTCAGTGGGAGATGGACAACGTGTTAAAAAAAAAAAACTTCAGAAAAACATTATCGACCATTTCAGATGAAACTTTTTTTTTTTTTTTTAAATTCGACAATGAGAAATATTAATTTGGAGATCTGGGCAGTGCAAGGTTACACAGGTTAATTATCCCATTACACAGGTTAATTATCCCATTATACAGGTTAATTATCCCATTACACAGGCTAATTATCCCATTATACAGGTTAATTATCCCATTATATAGGTTAATTATCTCATTACACAGGCTAATTATCCCATTATACAGGTTAATTATCCCATTACACAGGCTAATTATCCCATTATACAGGTTAATTATCTCATTACACAGGCTAATTATCCCATTATACAGGTTAATTATCCCATTACACAGGCTAATTATCCCATTATACAGGTTAATTATCCCATTACACAGGCTAATTATTCCATTATACAGGTTAATTATCCCATTACACAGGCTAATTATCCCATTATACAGGTTAATTATCCCATTACACAGGTTAATTATCCCATTATATAGGTTAATTATCTCATTACACAGGCTAATTATCCCATTATACAGGTTAATTATCCCATTATATAGGTTAATTATCCCATTATACAGGTTAATTATCCCATTACACAGGTTAATTATCCCATTATATAGGTTAATTATCTCATTACACAGGCTAATTATCCCATTATACAGGTTAATTATCCCATTATATAGGTTAATTATCCCATTATACAGGTTAATTATCTCATTACACAGGCTAATTATCCCATTATACAGGTTAATTATCCCATTATATAGGTTAATTATCCCATTATACAGGTTAATTATCTCATTACACAGGCTAATTATCCCATTATATAGGTTAATTATCCCATTACACAGGCTAATTATCCCATTATACAGGTTAATTATCTCATTACACAAGTTAATTACCCCATTACACATGTTAATTACCCCATTACACAGGTTAATTACCCCATTACACAGGTTAATTATCCCATTACACAGGTTATCCCATTACACAGGTTAATTATCCCATTACACAGGTTAATTATCCCATTATACAGGTTAATTATCCCATTACACAGGTTAATTATCCCATTACACAGGTTATCCCATTACACAGATTAATTAACCCATTACACATGTTATTTATCCCATTACACAGGTTAATTATACCATTACACTGGTTAATTAACCCATTACACAGGTTAACCCATTACACAGGTTAACCCATTACATAGGCTAATTACCCTCAAATAGTACTTTTACCAGAGCCAGATTATCACTATTATTATTTCCATCAGTATAAAGTGAGAAGCACTACCCAGGGTGGTGGTTGGTGGGTGGCTCAACAGTGAAGACTTCACTGCCACCCTCACAGTACCTGAACAGTGAAAACTTCACTGCCACCCTCACAGTACCTGAACAGTGAAGACTTCACTGCCACCCTCACAGTACCTGAACAGTGAAGACTTCACTGCCACCCTTACAGTACCTGAACAGTGAAGACTTCACTGCCACCCTCACAGTACCTGAACAGTGAAAACTTCACTGCCACCCTCACAGTACCTGAACAGTGAAGACTTCACTGCCACCCTCACAGTACCTGAACAGTGAAGACTTCACTGCCACCCTTACAGTACCTGAACAGTGAAGACTTCACTGCCACCCTTACAGTACCTGAACAGTGAAGACTTCACTGCCACCCTCACAGTACCTGAACAGTGAAGACTTCACTGCCACCCTCACAGTACCTGAACAGTGAAGACTTCACTGCCACCCTCACAGTACCTGAACAATGAAGACTTCACTGCCACCCTTACAGTACCTGAACAGTGAAGACTTCACTGCCACCCTTACAGTACCTGAACAGTGAAGACTTCACCGCCGCCCTCACAGTACCTGAACAATGAAGACTTCACTGCCACCCTTACAGTACCTGAACAGTGAAGACTTCACTGCCACCCTTACAGTACCTGAACAGTGAAGACTTCACCGCCGCCCTCACAGTACCTGAACAATGAAGACTTCACTGCCACCCTTACAGTACCTGAACAGTGAAGACTTCACTGCCACCCTTACAGTACCTGAACAGTGAAGACTTCACTGCCACCCTTACAGTACCTGAACAGTGAAGACTTCACTGCCACCCTTACAGTACCTGAACAGTGAAGACTTCACCGCCGCCCTCACAGTCGTTGGTTGTCAACACTGGAGTATCAACATTGACAAAACCTTCCTTCTGTAAGTACTGGTGTATTGCCATCTTGGTCTGCAAGAAGATTATCATAATTATCATAACTATGGTAATTAATAATGATAGTTTACATTTGCAAAAGCATTCTGGTAGCTAATTTAACAGCAGGGAGATGGACGCAATGACCCTTGGGTTGTCACAACTCTTAACCCAACAATGTTGATAACCTGAGATGTTGTAGGGTCATCATAACCCTTAAACTGCAGGATTTTTCCCCTCCATCTAGTGGGCTTGTGGGCAGCCTGTGTGTGTCAGTCCATTGTCTTTGTGGGGAAGACCTAGCTTCCTGCCCTGCCTCCCTGTCCCACCTCTCTCATCTCATTGGTCCATACATGTGTCCCATATAATTCTGAAATCTGTTTATTATTAAATTAGTTGATTCCTGCATTCCAGTCAATACTTGCTGAGTTTTCATATCATCTGCATCACCTGTGCCCAAATGTGAGACTGCTGGAGACAATGTTTATACACAAATTGAGATGGCAGCCATGAACTGTACCTGTCCAGGAGAGGGACCTTCCCAGTGTTTATATACTCTCTGCTTATCTTACTTTGCATAATATAGATTAAAAAAATGAAAGGAACCTGGATGTAATGTGTATACAGTGGCATACCTAAGGTATTGCAAGTACCCTGGGTGCTACTTGAAAGGAAGCAGCCACCGAGCAGTTTCTATTAAGTCAGACAAGCAATCCTTGGATAGTGAAAAAAGAATTTTGTTCAGATGTATGATGTCTTTAATCATCCTGGGTGAGAAGCACTTGGATGGCTAGATTGTTAAACCACTTATATAAATTATTAGGTAAAAATACAGTGCTGGGAGCTACTTGACCACACACCTCACAGTGCCACTGCTCAGTGCCAAGTGGCAGTAAGACAATTCTCCTGCAGAAACTAGGGAGGTAGTCTAGAATTTTGTGCAAAATCTGTGAAATTTAATGTTCTTATTAAACTGCCATTTCCTTATTTCAGAGCATTGTGCACGAAGACCATGAAACATTTCTTCACGAAGAAGGAAAGTGGAAGTGAAGGACGGAAGAGACGAAAGTTGGAGGCGGAGGAAGCCAAGAAGTCAGGCAAGTTCTTCGTGTACTTCTTTGAAAAGCCCGGAATAAGTTTGACGCATTCCATGGAGCTGCCTGCACCTGCTACATGTGTGTTAGAATCTGAAGGTGGATCGAGTACAAATGCGTCACAAACCGAGGATGAAATCAAGTCAGATAAATCAGTGTATGACGAGATTAAAAGTGACGTTGCCAGAGAGAATGTGGACATGACAGGAGTGAAGAGATTTTACCTGACGATATTGAACCTGACAACAATGAACATAATGAACTGGATGGTGTCAAAGAGCCTCAGACTGTCATACAAGAAATGATTGAACCGCATGACATTGGACTTCCAAGGATACTGGAAAAGCAATTTTGCCTGAAGTATTGAGAACAGAAATAATAAAGCTGTGTTTGCAGTATTTCCAGAATGGTGAGGGGCTTTTCCTACCAACAGATAACTACTCAGTGAACAAAGCTTGGTTCAACAGTAAACTGGAAAATGGTCATAGTGAGGAAGTGACTCACTCGTGGTTAGTCTATTACTCTTCTAAATAGTCTGCATTTTGTATCCACTGTCTTCTCTATTCCCAGTCAGACCATCAATCGTCATCGGAGTAGGAAAGTGGATTCAACCAGTGGAAAGCACTTGAAATGATTAATGTTCATGAAAATGTTAAGAATCATTGGGAGTGCTTCACACAGTGGAAAGAAAGGGAAAGAAATTTAGTTGAAAGCAGAGAGGTTATTGAGTCGGAACTTCAGTCACAGATTGAGAAGGAAGGAAAAACAGAAGTTGCATGATATTTTGACGAGAATCCTTCACTGCATAAAATTCCTTGTGACTCAGAACCTGACTTTATGAGGACATGGAGGGGGGGGGGGTCACTTCAGCTGGATGATGGCCCCAATGTGGGAAATTTCCTTGGCTTACTGAAACTACTGGCCATCTTTGGCCCTGTTATGAGAGAACACCTCACTCATGTGAAAATTAATCAAAATTAATCTTTCAGCAGGTGTTCAAAATGAATTCATCCCATGATGGCATCCACTGTTCACCAGAGTTTACTAAGAAGTATTCATAAAGCCAAGTACTCTAGTCTCATGCTCAACTCTACTCCTGATCAGACACTGTGAGCAGATGTCAAAAGTAGTGAGGTATGTGGAAGTTGCTTTGGAGAGGAGAGTAGTCCGTGTTAGAGAATCCGTCCTTGATTTTATCCAGATAAGCCAGAAGGATGCCGAGAGCTTGGTTGAAGTAATCTTGAAACAGCTAGAGAGGGATGAAATGGAGCTACAAGACTGTCGGTCACAGTGCTATGACAATGCTGCCATGATGGCTGGACACAGAAATGGTGTTCATCAAAGAATAAATGAGAAAAACAACCTGGTAGTGTTTATGATTAGCGACAATCACTGAACTTGGTGGATGTACATGTAACCAAACAGGATATAATGATGGTCATGTTTTTTGGAACCATCGAAGCTTTCTATGTGTTTTTCTCTCGTTCAACACAGAGCTGGGAATAACTCAAAAACACTGTGAAGTTCAAGGACAGCAGCAGTGAAGCCCATTAATAAGTACCTTGAGGAGATAATTCAAGTTCTCCAGGAAATGACAGACAATGAAAACAAGACCAGTGAAACAAGAAATGACGCAAGGCAGTTGTATAACCGCATGTTGAGTTACGATTGTCTGAGGACTTTGCTAGTATTTTGGAACAAAGTACTCATTCACAGTGACCATATTCAAAAGAGGCTGCAGTATCCTAGCATGACCTTCCAAGATGCTGCACTGGATTTGAAAGCCCTCTGAGATCATTTTGATGATAATAGAGAAGTGTTTGTCAGTGAGTCACTCAAAAGGCTTGTTCTCTGTCAAGAACGGAATATTTAAGTTGAGAGACGCCAGAGGCGAGAGAAATGAATAGCTGATGAGAACTCGAGAGATGCTGTGTTAATAGTCAAGGAGGAAATGGAAAGTCAAGAAGGGAATACTCGACTGTCTTCACAGAGAAATGGATGAAAGGTTCACTCGTTTGAACGATACTGATGCCAAGTTTAGGTTCTTTCTCGAAGGACTGTGTTACTGTACCGACAGTAATGACCTAAAGAAGAGGTGCAAAAATTTGGGTGAATTGTACAGCTCTGATGTTGATGGACAGCAGCTACGTGAATAAATTTTGGATTGCAGAATGTTGCTATCAAGTTGGACCAACATGAAAATATCAAGACCTGAAGAGCTTCTCAACATATTTATTTATTTACATATTAATTTGAACATGATACATAGAAGTACAAGGAAATACAGTACTTAAGTGTAACATGCCAAAGCCCCTTGTATGCAGAGCATTATGGGCAGGCTTAAAATTAACTTAAGATTAACTAAGCAATGATATATTCAGTGGTAAACATTGTTGTAAACAGTTAACAATTAAGCACAAATGAGTATTTCAAAGACAGGTCATATGGTCATTTACTGTGTTGCTGAGCATTCAGTAGAATGGAGTATTCTGTTAGGTAATGTAATTTATGTAAACGAGAAAGAGAAGAGGGCCAAGGACACTTCCCTGTGGGATACCAACTGTAATTGGCTGTGCAGAAGAGTTTGTTCCATTTGTGTACACATATTGACTTCTGTTGCTGAGGTATGACTTGAGGTAGTTGAGGGAGTGCCCTCTTATACCATAGTGCGACAATTTTATGTGGAGCAAGTCAAGCTCAACTGTATCAAAAGCTTTACGTAAATCAATGAAGATTCCCAGTGGGACTTCTTTTTTCTCTAGTGCAACAACAACAACAACAACAACAACAACAACAGCAACAACAACAGCAACAGCAACAGCAACAGCAACAACAGCAATAGCAACAGCAACAGCAACAACAACAACAGCAACAACAACAACAACAGCAACAACAACAGCAGCAACAACAGCAACAACCAACAACAACAACAACAACAGCAACAACAACAACAACAGCAACAACAGCAACAACTACAACAGCAACAACTACAACAACAACAACAACAACAGCAACAACAGCAACAACAGCAACAGCAAAACAGCAACACACAACAGCACAACAAACAACACAACAACAACAGCAACAACACAACAACAACAACAGCAACAACACAACAACAAACACAACAACAGCAAAGCAACACAACAACAGCAACAACAACCAACAACACAAACACAACAGCAACAACAACAGCACAACAACAGCAACAAGCAACAAGCAACAAACACACGCAACAACAACAAGCACAACACAACAAACAACAACAACAGCAACAACACACAACAAGCAACGCAACAACAGCAAACAACAACAACACCACAACAACAGCAAGCAACACAACAACAAACAAACAACACAACACACAGCAACACAAACACAACAGCAAACAACAACAGCAACAACAACAACACAGCAACAACAGCAAACAACAACAACAGCAACCACAAACACCAACACAACAGCAACAAACAGCAACAACACACAACAGACAACAGCAACAACAGCAACAGCAAAAACAACACAACAACAACAACAAACAAACAACACAACAGCAACACAACACAACAACAAGCAACAACACAACAAACACAAACAACAACACAACAGCAACAACAACAGCAACAGCAACAACAGCACAACAACAACAACAGCAACACAACAACAACAACAGCAACAACAACAACAACAAACACAACAACAACAACAACAACCAAACAACAACAACAACAACAACAACAGCAACAACACAACAGCAACACAACAACAGCACACAACAACACAAAAAACAGCAACACACACAACAACAAAACAGCAACACACAACAACAACCAGCAACAACAACAAACAACAACAACACAATAACAACAACAACAACAACAACAACACAACAACAACAAAACAACAACAGCAACAACAAACAACAACAACAACAAACAACAA